TGTTTTGACTCCTTGGAAGATACAGAGGCTGTAGGTGAGATCCGTGGCACACTGTGGAAGGGAGATTTTATACTAAGACCGAATGTGAGACTTCACATTATCCTTAGCACTTTCTCCTAAGAGATAAAAAATGTTGGAGGACCTAAAATGTTGGGTGCCTAAAATGAATATTGAGTTTTCTTTTTGAAAGATCATTAATTATTCAGGTGGTTCACAGATACCTTTTGGGTTCTCTCACTGTACATTCAAACATGATTGTATGATGTTAATCTTCAAATATCTTTTAGTTGGTTTCATAAAAGCCCCTATTTTCTTCTTTTCAGGTTATTCTGGACTTTATGAAGCCATTGAAAGTTGGGATTTCCAAACCATTGAAAGGTTGGAGGAATATAGGTCACTGTTAAAGCGTTTACAACCAGAATTTAAAACTACAGTTAATCCAAAAGATATCCTTCCTGAAGTATCTAAATGTTTAATTAGTCAGGAATGTGAAGAAATTATGCAGGTAATTTAATTACTATATTTAATATAATTAATTAATTCAAATTAATTTAATATTAAATACTGAATTTGGGGGAAGTAATTTGAACATGGGAAATGTATTCTGTTTTCTCCACTGATTTAGACCCAAGAAAGATCATTGAAATCCACAAAAGTCCTCAATTCTGAGGCATAATTACCTAGAATAGTATTTTTAGTTGTGAACTGAATAATTTTTAATGTCACAGGTTTTTCAGGTTTGTCCTATTTTCAGTTAAAATTATTATTTTTGCAAATAATATTTTATGCAACTTTAAATAAAGTTGAACAGTTTAGCAAATAAAAAGAAAACCTATAGAGTCTAGTGGTTAAGCGTTCAGGCTTTGGACACGAATTTTGTTACAATCCTAGTTTAACCACCTACTTGTGGTGTGATCTTAGGCAAGTTGCTTATTTTCTCTAAACCTCTTTTTTTTATGTATAAAATGGAAATAATGATAGTATCTTATTAGCATGATACTTTTATAAGGATTAAATGAGATTATATATATATATTTTATATTTTGTAACATATTTTATATTATATATATTATGTATATATTGTATATATATTTATATATTATATATATTTATATTATATATATTCTATATATATTCTATATATGTTTTATATATATATATATGTTTATATATGCCTAGCATATAATCATAGATGCTCAATACATTTTAGTAACGATTAATAATAAAAATCGGGGCGCCTGGGTGGCGCAGTCGGTTAAGCGTCCAGCTTCAGCCAGGTCACGATCTCACGGTCCGTGAGTTCGAGCCCCGCGTCAGGCTCTGGGCTGATGGCTCAGAGCCTGGAGCCTGTTTCCGATTCTGTGTCTCCCTCTCTCTCTGCCCCTCCCCCGTTCATGCTCTGTCTCTCTCTGTCCCAAAAATAAATAAACGTTGAAAAAAAATAATAAAAATCATATAGGTCCCATTACCCTGAGAAAACCATTTGGTAATATTCTGTTATATTCTTCCAAATATCTCTTTATGCCAGTGTACCCTTATTTTGAATGGTTGTCAAATGGATTGTTTCCTAACATTGCTGCTGCTGATAGATACAAGGTCTCCAAGGAGGTGAGAACACCTGGCTTAACATAGTGATGCCACGTGTAAAGACAAGGACAAAGGAAAGGGTGTCTTAAAAGGCACTATGTTGGATGGGGCAAAAACGGTCATAAATCAGACCTACTGAACCATATTATACAATGGTTTTTCAATTAGTGCTTGAATTGATGTTTCTTCAGATTTCCTTTCCATAAAAGGAAAACTTTTGAAATGATTGATTAACTTCAGTTGTCTTGCTTAGGTTTGTTCCAACAAGGGGCTGATGGCAGGTGCAGAGAAAATGGTTGAATGCTTTCTCAGATCGGACAAGGAAAACTGGCCCAAAACTTTGAAACTTGCTTTGGACAAAGAAGAGAGCAAGTTCAGTGAACTGTGGACTGTGGACAAAGGTAGGATATTCCAGGGAAGAGCTCTGAAGGGTAGGAGGGTCTGAAAACATGCTCCATCTTTCTCGTGGTTCTACTTAGGACCTCTTTCATTCCTACATTTCTCACTCACTGTCAGAGGCATTTTGCCCTTCAGAGACCCATGGCTACATCTCGAGAGAGAGCGAGAGAGCAGCAGTGAGTTGAGTTCTGGTAGGTAAGTGGCTACTTCCCTGCAGAAGTAATTTGGTTGTGTCTAACCCCTAAAATGGACCAGGGCAAACTGCTCTCATCCAGAATTAGCCCATCTGGTCCAAAGGATTTGGGGAAGGCAGAGTCTGAACTCACTCTCTGGGTTTAAATTATCAGAGAAATAGCTTTAAAATTATAGAATGAAAGGTTTGAACGCCAAGACTTGCCCCCTTTTCAGAGTAAGAATCATAATACACATAGCCTGGTTGTCTTGCCTGGGAGCCATCAGGAACTAAGCCAGAACAGGACTGAAGAAAAGAGTGTGTTGTGATGAAATATCTGTGTTGTGATGAAACCATCATTTGGTTTCCTGAAGCTAACATCTTCTCAGAGCATTGTTTCAAAGTCTGAGTTTTCTAAACCATCTGAGTGTCTGGTCTTCGCTTTTCCTAGGTTTCTTTAAATCACAAGTTGTTCTGGAAAATGTCTATATAAATACACATCTGATTTCTTGAGTTAGGTCAAGAATGGAAGACATAAATACTTGCTAAATGTTGCTTCTCTAAGTGTGCATGAGAATCTTCTGGGGATTTTGTTAAAGTGCACATTCTGATTTAGTAGGGACTTGAGAGCCTGCATTCCCAACAAGCTCTGGAAGTTGCTGGCCCATGTTCTACACTTTGAATAATAAAGTCCTAAATGACATTGGAGTTCAGACTCCAAATTGAGACATCAAACTCAAAAAGATTCTTTTAATTGTTTTAGAAGGTGAAGCAAGTGGTTGTGCAAAATCTTAGAAGTTGAAAATTTTACTATTATGACCTCTTTGTAGGACTTGTGCTGTCAAGACAATAATCAGATCAGATGAAGATTCTGAGGTGTTTTTTGGTCTCATACAGGTGCAAAGAATATTGACGTGAAAGTTCTTGAGGATGATGAAATGGAAACTTCTGACATACAGATTTTCTACAAGGAAGAATCTGAATGCCAGAATCTTAGTCAGAATTCATGTCCATCTTCAGGTACCCAGCATTGTTCTTTTCCATAATGGTGTTCTTTAGGTATTTTGTGTAGGGACATGTCTTCCAGTGCCAAAAGCCATAGTCTTTTTTGTTTTTTTTTAATTTTCATTTTTGGGAGAGTGCAAGATGGGGAGGGGCAGAGAGAGGGGGACAGAGGATCCGAAGCCGGCTCTGCACTGACAGCAGTGAGCCTGATGTGGGGCTCGAACTCACAAACTTGGAGATCATGACCTGAAGTGAAGTTGGACGCTTAACCGACTGAACCACCCAGGCACCCCAGGGAAGAAATTCTGATTAATATTGAGTAGTGTTAGAAGAAAAGTGTGATTTGGGGCTAACGCTACTGTAAGAAGAGAATTTACAGATTACTTTTGCAATGAAGTGATACCAGTTTTTTTGTCATTTCTGAATAAAATCAACAAATGTAAGTTGCTTTAAATTTTTTCTGATATGTAAAGGTCCTTAGCCTTTTAGAAATTTTCATTTTTTTAAAATACGTTGGAGTCAATAGATAATTTCTAAGATCTTTTCTGGCAGTAACATTCTACATGCTTATCTGTTAGTGAGAAAAAGCCTCTGATTATTCCTTGGAACTTCTGGTTCTGTTGAGAGAAGATACTATGTGAAAGCCTGCAGAATAATAAAGCATGATTGCTCACCAATATGAAATTGCTTTGGGAATTCAATGTTTACAGTTTGTTGCTTTTCAGAGACCTTGGAGGGATTTGTTGTTTTGTTCCATATAGCATTTCCTTTAACCAGTGGCCATCTGCTTGCTCTGAATTAGGCCATTCTTGCTTTAGTTTTCTCCTTACTAGATTTTGAGATTGTTTAAGAAAGAAATCTTTGTGGCTTTAAAGAAAAAAACAAAACAAAACTCTCGCCATTGGCACTTTGTCATTGATAGAGGATTCTGTACTTCACATCAATGGAGAAGCTAGAATGGTTAGCAAGAGGCAAGGATTCTAAATTTTCTCAAATGAGGCCCTTCTTGCTAAAGTCATAATTCCTGTCTATTTGATGATAGATAGCTATTTGATTCCTCAGAGCAGTAACTATTTGGAAATTTTGTTCCTTTTGTGTTACAGAAGTCTCTCATATTTACACCCCAGTGAAGCCAAGAAATTACCAACTAGAGCTTGCTTTGCCTGCTAAGGAAGGAAAAAACACAATAATATGTGCTCCTACTGGTAAGTTGATTGCCACTGCTTACGTGGTTTGTTTCTGTGTTTGCTTCCTTTTTTTTTTTCTTTTATTGAATACGGGGACAAAATGGGCAAGTGTCAATATTTTCCTTGCTCCATATGTCTTTTGAGAAGACTGTCCCAGTAATAGAGTCTCCAGGTATTTTAAGGAACTTGAGGAAGAAAAAAAAAATGCCCCCCTTTTTAGTTTGCTTTATGCCTTGACTATTTATTTGCATGTTACCTAGGAAGTAACTTGATATTTTCATGTCCTGGTGTAAATTCTGCTGCAGTTAACCCATCCACATTCTCAATTTACCAATCAGTGCAGTGGTTTGAGGGGAGCCAACAGTAACTACCTTTCTACAGAAATATTTTAGTATACTATTAGTTACACATTTTCTTTTTCTTTTTATGTTAAAAGGTTGTGGAAAAACCTTTGTTTCACTTCTTATATGTGAGCATCATCTTAAAAAATTTCCGCAAGGACAAAAGGGGAAGGTTGTCTTTTTTGCTGTTCAACTCCCAGTGTATGAACAGCAGAAATCTGTGTTCTCAAACTATTTTGAAAGACTTGGGTAGGTATAACAGTTGGTCTTGTTTCTCTCCTCTAGTTTCATGTAACTGGTGTGTTTTTAGCTTTGTTTAGTTTTTGGAAAGCTGTGATTCAAAAATCGATAGTAGATTGAGCCTTTATATAATCTATATACAATTAATTTTTCATGGATTCAAGTCTATTTTGTTAGGTACACTTGAAATCCTAAACTCCTTTGGCTAGCTAGCTCTTACAGAGTGAGTAAATGACCTGAGATAAATTTTACATTTAAATGGCACATTTAATTTTTTAATGATTTCATAGCTTATTTAACATTACTCTTTAAGTAGTATTTTCTTTCTTAATGACTTGAAAGAATTAATACATGCTAGCAACAATTATAACTAGCTTGCATTTGTTGATCATTTACTATGTGTAAGGCTCTGTGCTAAGCACTTGTCTCCAGATTCCTTTCGGAGTTAGGAGAGCTTAATCAGTTGATGCTCTGATCTAGCGTTTTATATCTTTGTGGTTCCTCATTCACATTGTGGTTGGTAATAGGGAATTTCTGTCATTTCCCAGGTACAAAGTTGCAGGTGTTTCTGGAGCAACGTCTGAGAATGTCTCAGTGAAACAGATTGTTGAGAACAATGACATCATCATTTTAACTCCACAGATTCTTGTGAATAGTCTTAAAAATGGGACTATTCCATCACTCTCTGTCTTTACTTTGATGATATTTGATGAATGTCACAATACTGGTAAACACCATCCTTATAATATGATCATGTTTAATTATCTAGATCAGAAACTTGGAGGATCTTCAGACCCACTGCCTCAGGTATTTCCAGATTCAGATGGATTCCTCAGAAGAGCTATAACCTTGCTAAATCCTATTTACTTACTCTTATGACCAAATTAAGGATGTTCTTTTCAGGTGCTAAGTCCAGATTGTATAGCCTATTGATTAATTTTGATTGATTGATTGATTCATTTATTCACTTAACAAACATGCCTCAGACCCAGCGCGGCGGGGGGGGGGGGGGGGGGGGGTGGGCCATTGGGGGGGGCACTGGGGATACAAATATAAAAAGGCAGTCCTTGCTCTCAAACAGTTTAATTTCATGGGGAGCCAAACATGTAAAAATTATGTCATAATGTATGGTGATGGCACACTATGGAGATGGGTACAAGCTGTAGTCAGAACAGAAGTGAAAACTCATGTGCTGTGAAAGTAAGGCAACACCCGATAGAAGTTAGGCAAAAGCTAACAAGAAGGTACAAATTAGATAGCTTGATGGTCTTCAGGAAAGTCTGCTGTGTGTCCAAAGGCACAGAGGTATGAGAGAGCATGGTGTGCCTGAGAGTCAAGAATTGTGAAGCTCTTCAATATTGTTTGAGTATAGAATGTGAAGTAGTAAATAGCAGTAGGTGAGGCAGAATGGGGATAGAGGGAATGATTGATAGAACAGGATGTCAGGGGAAACCAGAGGGTATGGGGTAAGTAGGCAGATATATGCATTAGTCCAGGAGAGTAGATGGGACACCATTTTTGGTGTCATCAGAGGTGAGGGTGTGAAAGGAGTCAAGACAGAGTAGTTCATAGATGGGGACAGGAAAGGTGGGGAATCCCTGGCATTTAATCTCTCTTTTCTCTTAAATGTAGGAGAGGCAGAGAGATTATTTGCTGGGAATAATCAAGATGGGAATGGAGGAGGGAACTCGGGGTGCATGGAAAGGATTTGAAACAGGAATTGCTTGGTTACACTGGGGATCCAGATAAGGTTGGAAACCATGAATTTATAGCATGGTATACTAGTGTCACATCATATAAAGTTCTCTAGCCCTAATAACTACCTCTTTAGGAAGCACAGGTTAAAAGAAATTCAGCATGTACCCATAGACAAAATTCAGTAGCAATCACATTTTTTAAAATTTATTGTTTAATGTTTATTCACTTTTGAGAGAGAGACCAGGGGAGGGGGTCGAGAGAGAGGGGGAGAGAGAGAGAGAGTGAGAGACAGACAGACAGACAGACAGACATAGAATCCGAAGCAGGCTCCAGGCTCTGAGCTGTCAGCACAGAGCCCGATGCGGGGCTTGAACTCAACAGCAGTGAGATCATGACCTGAACCACAGTCAGATACCCAACCGACTGAGCCATCTAGGTGCCCCCAGCAATCACATTTCTTAAAGCTTCTTCTAGAAATAAATTGGTGGTTCACTAGATTTCTTGCTAATGAGTCAGTTATTTAGTATTTACTGAGTGGCTATTCAAGTAGAACTTAAATTGTTAGGTGACCATTAAGCTAAATTTTTTATAAATCTTGTTACTGAATTCACACAACTACCATTTTAAATAGCTGTTGTTTCCCAACTTTTAGAGACAGCTGACATGTGTCCCTGCATTGCTCAGGGACATGCAGCCAGTGTGACATGGTTGAGTTTAGAATGGAGTTGTGTCTGATTTCAGTCCCTTTCCTTTCAGTATGTTGTTCTACACATTACGGGGGACACAAGAGTAGAGAAGAGAAGTCCTTCCTTGAAAGGGTTTCCACTCTTGGTTTCTTTGCTGATTCATGTTCATTGGATGAGTTCCGACTTTTGCATTTATTCAGTGCTTTGCCTAATGGGGACCTTTCCATTTGCAATGTCATGGAAATTATCAGAAAAAATAAATACTGTTCTTGCTCTTTATGGGAAATTAGTAAAAACAAAACAAAACAAAAAATAAAACCTGACTTTAACAGGAAAGAGTTGTATGCAGGATTGTGGAAATGGCAGGCAGTTTCCCAGGCATCTGATGATTTCCAATGCTCCTCACAGGTCATTGGGCTGACTGCCTCGGTTGGCATTGGGGATGCCAAAAGCACAGCAGAAGCCGTGGAATATATCTGCAGACTGTGTGCTTCTCTTGACACATCAGTGATAGCAACAGTCAAAGACAACTTGGAGGAACTGGAAGAAATTGTTTATAAGCCCCAAAAGTGTAAGTGGAATCCCATAGCATGCCTTTTAGGACTTTGTTACCCTCTGCGTTTCCTAGTTCAGAGCCATTCGGATGAATACTGAGTTTTTACCTTTTCCATTTAGTGGAAAATATTTAACCCCAAACTTGGGAAATAATTACATTTCACAGCTGTCTCCTTAGCTGAGCTGTATTCCAGGCAGTGGACAAACCTCAGGAGGGGACTGTCCTAAAACAAACATTCTTACTCTTCAGTTTGATAAAATTCTTTTTTTTGGTTTTGTGCTTTTGATAAAGTTCTTATAAAGATACTAACAATGAGGCGTGATGAGAAAAATCACAGCATATAGGGGCGCCTGGGTGGCTCAGTTGGTTAAGCATCCAACTTCAGCTCAGGTCATGATCTCACAGTCTGTGAGTTTGAGCCCCGCATCAGGCTCTGTGCTGACAGCTCAGAGCCTGGAGCTTGCTTTTGATTCTGTGTCTCCCTCTCTCTCTGCCCCTCCCCCATTCACGCTCTGTCTCTCTCTATCAAAAAATGAATAAATGTTAAAAAAATTTTTGTTTTAAAAATTAAAATCACAGCATGTAAATGGCGAAGAGCTGGGCTCAGCCCTTCCCTGTGTTGCATGCCTGAGGAGGAGACTGTGTGGTCATTCATTATTCGAGTATGGATCTGATGATTTGGGTTGAAAGGAAATTAATCTGAATTCATTGTATTTTTCCTCAGCAGATCAGTATTTGATTTTTTAAAAAAGATTTGAGTAGCAAATGTTTATTAAATTACAATGCTATACTGACCCAACAAGGAAGAGAGGAAGAGGAGACATATATACATTTCTCTTTGCTTTGGGGATAGTGTATGACTGTATAAGGCAGAACAAACAGACATGAGATAGCCAGAGAGGGGCAGTTAAGTTCCCTTCTGGGAGCTGCCTGTAAGGATTTTAGGGAAGGCACCTAATCTAAACTTTTTAGTATCAAGTACAAATTTCTTTAAAATCCAGTCCCTCTGCCCTCTGTGCTTCATCTCCTCCCCCTCCCATAAGCCCAACCTTGTCACATTCCTCTGGGCTCCTCAAGTGCATCGTGTGCTTTCTCCTTTCCTCTTCCCCTATTTACCCCACAACATTTCCTCCTCTGGAAGGATTAGAGATTCTTTTTCTTGTGCTCCATGATACCTTGCACATAGTTATTGTTATAGGACTTTACTGTGGTTATTTGGCTACACATATTTCTCCCCTAAGAACACAGACCTCTCTGGACCACAGAGTGTGTTCCTTTCAACTGTTTATCACCAGAACATGGCATATGGTAGGCAGGGAATAAGTTTCTGCTGAAACAATGCAATAATGAATTTTAGGAACAATGTGAACACTTCTGAGGGTTGGGTGGGAAAGGAGAAGATCAAAGAAGAGCGACTGAAAAAGTGTTGTATTTGCAGAGATAAGATTGATACCAGCCTTGGGGCTCCTGGGTGGCGCAGTCGGTTAAGCGTCCGACTTCAACCAGGTCACGATCTCACGGTCTGTGAGTTTGAGCCCCGCGTCGGGCTCTGGGCTGATGGCTCAGAGCCTGGAGCCTGTTTCCGTTTCTGTGTCTCCCTCTCTCTCTGTCCCTCCCCCATTCATGCTCTGTCTCTCTCTGTCCCAAAAATAAATAAACGTTGAAAAAATAAATAAATAAATAAAAGATTGATACCAGCCTTGTCAAAGTAGAGTTGAGTAATAAGAAAACCAGACTGAGAAGTCGGATTAGACCCAGACCATGAAAAATGAAGATGTTGGAATCTGTGCATTAAGCATTAGGGAGCTATTGCAAGGTTTCTGAAGGTTTGATATATCATTTAGACTACCTACCTGTGAGCTTGGGGCCTTAGGTCTTACAGAAGAAGTAACAGAGGCAGAGAAAGGTGTGCAGATGCCTACTTTGAAGTATGATGTGTTCTTCCTGAAAAATACTCACTTTACTCTGATGGCTCTAGTTTTCAGGAAAGTGGAATCACGGACCACTGACAGATTTAAATGCATCATCTCTCAGCTGATGAGGGAAACAGAGAGTCTGGCAAAGAGTATCTTTGACGAAATCGGTACCATAACTCTTGGTGAGATAAATCTCATTTTGCGTTTTCTCCACTTAGGAATAGCCATGTATTATTCCCTAGTGTCTTTTTGCATTCTCTTCAGTTCAGACAGTGTCAAGACTATATCAAGAGGTTAGCCTTCTTGATTATAGGTTATTGAGGAACCTTAAAATTCCTTCTTTAGTCTCGTTTTTTTTTAATCCAAAGTAAATCTGTGTTGACATACATACCTGAAAAATACCATATTTCAATCAATTCATGACTTTCTTAATCTCCGCAATTAGCTTTCTGTTCTTCCTACTTATATGAAAATATAAATTCCCTATTTATATGAAACCACCATTTCCCTGATGGATCAGATTGAAACAGGAGGTGACCTTTGATTCTTTGTTCTTCTGAGACTTTCTCACGAAGTCACCCAAGTTCTCTTCTTCTCTTTTGTTCTTTCATTCATTCACCAGATATTCATTGTGCTAGCTAATGGGAATAACAAGATTAAAGACATAGTCCCAACCTTGGGGAACTCACAGTCAAATAATGAGAATCAGATGCAGGGGGCTTCCACACAGCGGGGCAGAGGTACACACTGGGTGCTGTGGGAGCACGTTGGGAACTTTGGCCTAGAGTGGGCTGCAGGGAAAGCTCTCTGGGACGGGATGATGCCTGAGACAATCTTGAAGCTTGAGGCCAAGTTAAGAAAGAGACAAGTGAGATTGAAAAGGTGTCAGGCATTGAAGGAAGGGAATGTTTTAGGAACGGCAAGCATCTCATGGTACTCGTAATACATGAGTAGTAGAAAGGAGTGAGTAGAGAGAGGCAGGGGCCAGACAGGGAAAGACTTGGTAGGACTGAGTTTGACTTTCTCCTAAAAGCAGTGCAAAGCACCTGAAGATTTTAAACTGATGGGTGAGGTGATAAGGATACCAGTGAACAAAGAGGGCCAAATAGAGGCAGTCAAGACAGGTTGGTAGAGGGAGGAGGCTTGTGCAGAGCCCTGAAAACAGGAAGTATTCAGATTTCATGGCCAGCTGGCTTCGGATGGGAGTTGGGGTGACTTCCACTGGGCTTCTGGCTTGTGCACTTGTAGGTACACCGGTGGGTAGTGCTGCTTCCATCACTAGGAGCAGCTCTGGAGATGCTGAATTTGTGAGTTCACCTTTTTCACACTTACTTTACTTTTTTTTCTTTTCTCTTTTTCTTTCACAGCTTGCTTTAGGACTTAATCTCATAGCTGGCTGGCTGGCTTACCCACCCCTACTCATTTCTCCATTCAACCCGCCATTACCTGGTTGGTCTTTCTGAAATACCAGTTTGATTGTGTCAGTATCCTGCTTGAATCTCTCTGCCTTACAAGCAAAGCCCTCTAAGCCTCTGACCTGCCAGTCTGATCCCTGCCTGCACACTCTGGTTCTACTTATCTTTCCAGTTTTATCTGCCACTCCTTCCATACTTGAATCCTTTGATTTAGCAGTTCCTTGAACATGCTCATTCACTCATCATTCACCTGGTCCTAGGCCATATGCCAGGTGATGGGAATATACCATGGACCCTGAGATACAGCTCCTGCCCTTGTGGTATTTCCAGTGTAATGTGTAAGGCCAAAATTAGATAAGTAATAATAAAACAACAGGATAGGGGTAGGTGGGTGGTGGTGGTAAGGTGTGTTTCAGGCAGAGGAAACAGTGTGTGCAACAGCCAGGAAAGTAGAGCAAGTATGTGGATTTCCATTAGTCTTGTCAACTGCTGGAGATAAGAATCAGAAACAGGCAGGGGTGCCTGGGTGGCTCAGTCAGTTAAGTGTCTGACCTCAGCTCAGCTCAGCTCATGGTCTCACAGTTTGTGAGTTCGAGTCCCGTGTCAGGTTCTGTGCTGACAGCTCAGAGCCTGGGGCCTGCTTCAGATTCTGTCTCCCTCTGTCTCTGCCCCTCCCCTGCTCACACACTGTCTATCTCAAAAATAAATAAATATTTTTAAAAATTAAAAAAAAAAAAAAAGAATTAGAAGTAGTCAGAGACTAGATCACAGAGGATCCTGGGAGCCGGGTAGGATCTGGCCAGAGGAATCCACTAAAGGCTTTTAAGCAGTGGGGTAGCATAGTGTCTCTTCTGCAGTTTTGCAAACCCACTCTAGCTGCTGAGTGGGCAGTGGATTGGAGGGAACAAAGCAAGAAGTAGGGAGACGAGTTAAGAGGCTGTCGCATTATCCAGGAACATTATGATGTGATTAAACTGGGGAAGTAGCAGAAGGGCAGAGAGACATGAATTTCTACCTGCTTATTCCTCCCACCTCTAATTCTCTACCTCCACCTTTTCCCCAGTCCATATCCTATCAGCAGTTCATTTCCCCATTGCTTAACTCATTTTCACACCCACCCGTGTTCAAGAAATACTTGTTAATTCATCTGGCCACCTTGTTTATAGTTGGGGCTGGGAAAGAAGCATGTCAGTGCTACTTGTCTGAGTAGCCTCCTTTGTTCCTCCTGTTAAACATGAAAGGGTGGGAGGAGAAATTTAACCCAGAAATATAGCTCTTGCCTGTGAGTTTTATTATACTGTGCTCTTAACAGGGAGACCTGGAGATTCAATCCCAGAGTAACTTACAGACTGAGCTGCTTGAGATCAGGCTTCGGTCTTCTACATCCTTTTACCCCCAGGACCCTGCACAGAGCCTGGACCACAGGATATGCTCAATGTTTAGACCAAGCAACTGAGATGAGGCATAGCTTAGGAGATGCACACATACAGAAGCATCCATGACAAGCTCTTTGCTCAGCCCTGGGAGTGATGCTGTGGAGATCAGATGACTTCAGTTTACAGCAAGGCAGAATAGACTGTGTTGAGTTCTTTCTCTCCTGCTTTTAAATATCCTCCTGATGAAGCTCATGAGACCTGTTATTTTTATTCACTACTTCATTTTTAAAAGCAAAGTTAGATATCTTCATGTCCATTGTTTTACTTCTGGGCTGCTTTGGTTGTTAGCTCACAAAGCTGGTAAGATTTGGGTATCAGACACACCTGGATTTGCATTCCTGCACTCCCCCATGTACTAGCTGTGTCACTTTGGATAAACTACTTCGCTTTTCTGAGCTTTGGTTTCCTCACCTGTAAAATGTAACCTCTACCTTACAGATTTGTGAAAATGAAATAAGGAGTACTTTGATTTCTTGGTGCAGAGAGTATTCAGTAAGCAATCATATGCAAACACAGATATACTGCTGCTGAAAACTATTTCAGGAGGAATATTCTGTTTACAGAGAGTAAGAAAAAAAATTAGGTGGGGGGCACCTGGGTGGCTCAGTTGGTTAAGTGTCCAACTTTGGCTCAGGTCATAATCTCGCGGTTTGTAGCCTGGACAGCTCGTAGCCTGGAGCCTGCTTCAGATTCTGTGTGTCCCTCGCTCTCTGCCCCTCCCCTACTCATGCTCTCTCTCTCTCAAAAATAAATAAACATTTAAAAAAACTTAAAATACATTTTTTTAAAATTTTTTTTTCAACGTTTATTTATTTTTAAGACAGAGAGAGACAGCATGAACGGGGGGAGGGGCAGAGAGAGGGGGAAGACACAGAATCGGAAGCAGGCTCCAGGCTCTGAGCCATCAGCCCAGAGCCTGACGCGGGGCTCGAACCCACAGACCGCGAGATCGTGACCTGGCTGAAGTCGGACGCCCAACCGACTGCGCCACCCAGGCGCCCCAAAATACATTTTTAATAAAAAAAAGAAAATTAGAGGGTGAGGCATGCTTAGAACTTTAAATGACTGATCATATGGCATAATGAAAACCTTTTTCTTCTTCCAGAAGGTATATCTCAAATTCGAAATCGGGAATTTGGAACGCAGAAATACGAACAATGGATCGTTACTGTTCAGAAAGCATGCACGGTGTTTCAGTTGCCTGACAAAGATGAAGAGAGCAGGATTTGTAAAGCACTGTTTTTGTACACTTCCCATTTGCGGGTATGTGACTTCTTTCCAAAAGTGTATTTTAGTTTTAGCACCTAACTGGGAGCTTTGCTCTGGTAGCTGAGAGAACATCAACTTTTCACCCTGTTTCAAGAGCTCGCTTAGGAACTTTCTAAAAGGTTCCTATGAAGCAAACTTTAAAGTTACCCCATTTAGCATCTTCTCTGCCTACTGAAACTTAATACTAGTAGAAACAGGATGGAAACAAAGGCTGGGATTCTATGCCATGCCTCTAGCATTGCTATGATTGACATGATTGAAAGAAATTGGGGGATGATGACCATTATTGTAGATATGTGATTGGTGACAGTCATCTTGAAAGTTCATTAGGTAACTCCTGCTACCTTATCTTGAGCATATGTTTTCTTACCTTTGGCAAAGCCACAGGCTCAGAAATCCAGAGTCTTTGGTTGCTTACTGGTTAACCAAGAAGTTGAGAAACAACCATCACCTCTGCTCATCATGCCATTGAAAGTATTTAAAAATGCACTCAGTCTGTATGCATTTTTGGAATTTAATGAATTTAGTTGAATATTTGGTGTAGGTGGTCAGCACCATCATTCTGAACAGGTGCAGTTGCAATTCAGTGATGGCTTTGGATGTATGAAGAGATTAAGTCGAATGTCTGAATCATGAGGCAAGTTGATGTGGAAATTGATTTGCTCTTGTTCTTGTTCTTTAATCTTTGACATGGATTTTTCTTGTAATTTCCTCTTTCTCTTCCAAGGTGGAATTCTAAATTCAAAATGATCCTAATTAACGTATGATTCTAGCTAATTCAGATTTTTAAAACAATATTTGGTTCAAAGGTTTTATTGCAGTTCCATTGGAGCCATTCATCTTAAAAAACTAAGTTGGAATAGATTTGAGAAAAGTTTATTTTGCCCCTCCCCTACTCACGCTAAGTACAGCTAATTGAATTTTATTTTTATTATTTTTTTTTATTTATTTTTTTCAACGTTTTTTATTTATTTTTGGGACAGAGAGAGACAGAGCATGAACGGGGGAGGGGCAGAGAGAGAGGGAGACACAGAATCGGAAACAGGCTCCAGGCTCCGAGCCATCAGCCCAGAGCCTGACGCGGGGCTCGAACTCACGGACCGCGAGATCGTGACCTGGCTGAAGTCGGACGCTTAACCGACTGCGCCACCCAGGCGCCCCAGCTAATTGAATTTTAGTACAGTGAATGCATTAGGCATTGGAGACACACTGAAACCCAGTTTTCATTTTCAACAGAAATATAATGATGCCCTCATTATCAATGAGCATGCGCGAATGAAAGATGCTCTGGATTACTTGAAAGACTTCTTCACCAACGTCCGAGCGGCAGGATTTGATGAGATTGAGCAAGATCTCACTCGGAGATTCGAAGGTGGGTGGTGTTTCTAGAGGAGGAAGCCGTTGGAACCTGGTGACTCCAGTGGCAGCATACTTACATTGCGTTATATTTAGTGTGCAGTGATGCTCAGGGAGTTGTCCCGGGCTCGAGAAGATCTTATGTAGATAGGACTATGAATCATCAGTGAAATCTGGTACTTAAGGAAAAAAATCCGTTGCTTAACATTATTTCTTCTTGTTAAGAAGTAAAATAGGATTTGTGAAGTATACATCCCATAGAAATTATAATAGGTAGTAGCATTTTTTTTGGTTTAACTTTTAGTAATTTTACACAGGTTTAAAGATAAAAAAAAGTGTTCAGTGGTAATCAGCATACTATAATTTATATGTACTTCTATACAGAAGAAAACCAAAATCGCCTATAATCCTACTGCTCTCATATTTAGAAAAATATAGGAAAATTTTAAATGAAAAGTAAGTCCTTCTCCCTCTCTCTCATTTTGGCTTGTAGGAAAGTATTTAGTATACATATGTGTAGCTCAGTGGTGTGCTGCTAAACATTGGGGAACCAGCTCTCTGGGGCAAAAATAAATATGCATTTATTGCTACATTTAATGTTACATTAAAGCAGTGGTTATTGCTCTTAAAATTCTGGTCAAGGATTGAGAGATTAACTACTTGAACTCTAGCTAATGGTCACAGTGTGTTCTAAATTTCTAGAATTTGTAAGCCATTTATAGAATGTTCCCCTTTTGCAGAAAAGCTGCAGAAACTGGAAAGCGTTTCTATGGATCCCAGCAATGAGAACCCAAAACTCAAAGATCTCTGCTTCATCTTGCAAGAGGAGTACCACTTAAACCCAGAGAGTAGAACCATCCTCTTTGTGAAAACCAGAGCACTTGTGGATGTAAGCTTCTTTCTTCTTGTGGATTACACATCGACCTAGCACCGTTTTATTGAAAAGATTGTCCTTTCCTCACTGCTCTGTAATCAGGCACCTGTATATGTGTGGGCTGTTTCTGGGCTATTCTGTTCTATCTCTTTGTTTATCCTTATATTAATACCTCACTGTTTTGATCAATAATTTCTAGTAAGTCTTGGTACCTGTAGAGCAAGGACTTCATATTTTTTAAAAATTTTTGGTCAATTTAAAAAATCATAACCATTCTCTGGGCACATAGTGGTATCTTCCTAGAGTAAATGTTCATTTTACTGTATTTGCATCTCAACTAATGCAGTTGGACGTTTCTCCATAAACTGATTAGACGTCCATATATCTTCTTTGGTGAAGTGTCTCTGCACATCTTTTGCCTATTTTAAAATAGGATCTGATTGGGTTGTTAACATATTATTGTTGAGTGAAAGTTTTTAAAGTTTATTCTGACAAAAAAGTCCTCTGTGAGAAATGTGATTTGTATATATTTTCTTCTGGTCTTTTAATTCTCTTAACAGTATCTTTTATAGATTGAAACTTTTAACTTTTTACAAAGCCTAGTTTATCAATTTTTTTCTTTTTGTGGCTTGTGCTTTTGGTATTGTACATAAGAACTCTTTGTTTACCCAAGATCACAAAGATTTTCTTTGTTATCTTCTCGAAGGTTTATAGTTCTGCATTTTACATTTAGGTCTACAATCTATTTTGAGTTATGGGTTGAGATGCTTTTTTTCTTTTTTTATGTGGATAGCTAATTATTGCAGCTCTATACGTTGAAAAGACCGTCCTTTTTCCATTGAATTGCCTTTGTAACTTAAAAAAAAAAAATCAGTTGACTGTATTTATATAGGTCTATTCTGGATTCTTGATTCTGTTCCATTCATCTATATCCATCTATCCTTTAACCCATCCCATACTGTCTTGATTAACTTTATATAGTGTGAGTCCTCCAACTTTTTCCCTTTTTTCGAAATTGTTTAGCTATCTTCCTTTGCTTTTCCATTTATATTTTAGAATAAGCTCATTCACATGTATGAAAAAATCTGCTGGAATTTTGAATGGAATTGCATTGAATCAACAGATAAAATTGGGGAGAAGTAACATCTTAAAAATATGGAGTCTTCGAATCCATGACCATATTATCTCTCTTTCTTCGTTTATATAGGGCTTCTGTATTAGTATCTGTATTACTGCTGATAAAAAATTACCTTAAAACTTAGTGACTGGTAGTAACAAACATCTATTATCTTATAATACCTATGGATCAGGAGTCTAGAAACCACTCAACTGGATGTTTCCGGCTCAGGCTCTCCCAAGGCTGTAGTCATCTTAAGGCTTTACTTGAGAGGCTCAACTTCCAACCTTAGCCTACAGGGCTACCAGCGGGCCTCAGAATCTGTGCTTCTGAGCTCACTCATGTGGGCCTTTCCACAGGGTTGCCTTTGAGAATGACAGCAGGCCTCCTCTAGAGTGAGTGATCGGAGAGAGACTGAGAGAGAGAGCCTAATGTGGAAGTCGTAGTCATTTTATAAGACCAACTTGGAAGTGATCATGTCTGCCATGTTTTTATTCATTAGAAGCATGTCAGTGAGTTCAGTTCATACTCAAGGGGATTACACAAGGATCTGAAGACCAGAGCTAGAGATCATTGGGAACCATCTGACGGGCTACCTACCACATCTTTGGTTTCTTTTATCACTGTTTCATTGTTTTCACATATAGATTCTGCACGTGTTTTGTTAGACTTACACCTAAGTGTCAGTTTTTTAATGCTGTTGTATTGTACTTAGTTGCTTGTTGCTGGTGAACAGAAATATAACTGACTTCTGTATATTGATCTTATGTCCTGAGATCTTGGTAAATTCACTATTAGTTCTACACATTCACTATTCTGAGCATTGCTTTTCTTCATTTAAAAAATATCTTAGAGATATTTTTTTGTGTATATTTTGTGTCAGATCACAAAGGTCTTAACCACTACAGTTAATTATTGCATAGAATTCAGGGCCAAAAAGCATTTATTCTCAGGTTTGTCAGAAAACTGTTCACTAACTTAAAGGTTTTTTTTTTTTCTTCTTGCAGTATTTCAGTATTAATACAGATTTTATACAAATAGTGTCCAACTGATAATTGCTTTTGATTTTCAGGCTTTGAAGAAATGGATTGAAGAAAATTCTGAACTCAGCTTTCTAAAACCTGGCATATTGACTGGACGGGGCAAAACAAATCAGAACACAGGTACTTATATATAATGAATTAGAGTTAGTATACTATATATATAAGAATATTTATAATATATTCAAATTCTTTTCTTTTTAAAAAAAATTTTTTTTTTCAACGTTTATTTATTTTTGGGATGGAGAGAGACAGAGCATGAACGGGGGAGGGGCAGAGAGAGGGAGACACAGAATCTGAAACAGGCTCCAGGCTCTGAGCCATCAGCCCAGAGCCCGACGCGGGGCTCGAACTCACGGACCGCGAGATCGTGACCTGGCTGAAGTCGGACGCTTAACCGACTGCGCCACCCAGGCGCCCCTTCAAATTCTTTTCTAATACTTATATCAGTCTGGAGAAGTAAAACCAGTAGGAGGTTGTACACACATACATATATACATATGTGTGTTGTTTATGTGTGAAACACATATGTTCATAGGCATTTGGGAGTTAGCATACATAGTTGGACTGGCAAAGGAAGTCTGTAATCCATAGAGCAGGTGGTCAGGAGCAGGCCTGACCTCCACAGGCGTGAACTGTTTCGAGTCTCTGAGCTCAGGGACTGATGCTGAAGTCCTCTTTCAAAGGGCTGATTGTGGGTCAGGCCAACCAAGGTTGAAATGTCTTTCACAACTTAAATGTCAAGTGATTAGGAACTTTTTTTTTTAATGTTTATTTATTTTTTGAGAGAGAGAGAGACAGAGCAAGAGCAGGGGAGGAGCAGAGAGAGAAGGAGACACAGAATCCGAAGGAGGGTCCAGGCTCTGAGCTGTCAGCACAGAGCCCGATGCAGGGCTCTAACTCACGAACTGTGAGATCATGACCTGAGCTGAAGTCAGACACTTAACCGACTGAACCACTCAGGCACCCCTGATTAGGGACTTTAATTACATCTGCAAATTCCCCTTACAAAAACACCTAGATCTATTACTAGGTACTATAGTTCAGCCTAGCCAAGTTGACACATCAGAAAGCCATCACAATGCTCAAATGCCAAAAATTTGTAGACATTGCTTCTTCCCATATATCTGGTAGGAAAAACCAGTTATTTTTTATAATATTGTTTGAGCATGTCACTCTTTTTCTCCAATTCTCAACCAGTAGATTAAGATAAGCTGGAAATAGAAATGTTCTGTTTTTATTTTATTGTTTTTTAAACTATTGATGCTTTTATGTGTATTATATATTTTACAATTAAAAAAAAAAAGGTCAGGGGCACCTGGGTAGCTCAGCCAGTTGAGCGTCTGACTCTTGATTTCGGCTCAGGTCATGATCTCACATTGTGTGAGTTTGAGCCCCGAGTCGAGCTCTGTGCTGACAGCGTGGATACTTCTTGGGATTCTCTCTTCCTCTCTCTGACCCTCCCCTGCTCACTTCTTTGCTCTCTCTCAAAATAATTAAATAAACTTAAAAAAAAAAAAAGAAAAAGCTCAAGCAGACAATCCTGATATCTAGCTAGGGTGGTTGAAGCATGAAAGGATGCCTCTGTTATTATCCAAGAAGATCTAGTGTGACCAGCCCCCACCTGACATTCTTGCAGCTGTGCTCCCCACCCCTCAGTGACCAGCAGGGACTGGTCTTCACTTCCTTCCTCCTGTTTAGTTTTGTTTATAATAAGCAGTCCCCATCCTGTCAGTCCTCACTCATCACTCTTGCACTTATACAAAGTTTAAACTTCATGAACCTGAAAAGTAAATGCAGATTTTGAAAATTTAGCTTACCAAATGAAGTCCAATGCCAAATTATGGCACTTGGAATTTAAAGTTCTCTGCAATTTGATTCCTACATGAGTTGATTTTCAAACTTTGTTATTTCTTCACAAATAGGCACTCAAAATATTTTGTTTATTCATTTATCCATCCATCATCTATCTATCCATCATCCGTCCATCCACATTTGTTTGGAAATGGTACTCTGTACCAGTCATTGTGCTTATCCAAGTGGCCTTCCCCAACCTTCTAAGACTAGTTGAGGTGTCTCTCCTTCCCATCCCATAGATCCACTCTGCCTCCATTTCACTGCTCATCACATTGAATTATGGCTTCCTATTTATATTCTTCTTCTATGAGATCCTTACAGGTAAAAATGGACCTTTTAACCATTATATTTTTAGCTGACAAACTATAATTGCTGAGTAAATGTTTGATGAAGAAATGGGTGAATGTTTTGGCCTTAAAATATATCTGCAGATTTTGGCTGCCAACTTTTATGAATTCTATTAACTCAGAGGTGGAGACCATTGAAATTCTTTTTCTTCATAGTATATCCATGACTGAGAACTGCACACTCTTAGGGTCTCAGACTTAAATTCAGGCCTGGTTCTGCCACTAACTAGGCTGTCAGTTTATCAGACTTCCAAAGTCTTAAGGTCTTCATCTGTAAAGGGGAGTTATAACACTTTCCACATCAACCAAAAAGGGCTTTGTGAAGTTCCAGTGAATAAGTAGTTGTGAAACTGTTCTGTCAGCTGTAAAGTCCTGGACACATTCAAAGGCATTATGATTAGTTGTTGATAATCTCGGCGCGGCCGCCCGCAAAAAAAATCAGTATTTGTTTTGAGATAACATGACTCTTATCTCACACAGCTAGTTAGTCCCCCAGCTAGGATTTGAACTCAGGCAGTCTTGAGGCAGAGTCCAAATTGTTAAATACCACCATTATGTCCTCTAAAACAAGGATAAGAATAGGCCCTAGTGCCTAGGGTTATTTTGACATCATGGATATAAAGCACTTACTTTAGTATTTGACCACGTAGTAAGCATTCCATCATTAGTGGCTATTTTTCAAGGGTAAAGTTCCTTCTTTTGGTGACTTCTAAAATGCCCTTTGACTCTGATGCAGGGATGACACTCCCAGCACAGAAGTGTGCATTGGATGCATTCAGAACTAATGGAGATAAAAAGATTCTGATCGCCACCTCAGTTGCTGATGAAGGCATTGACATTGCTGAGTGCAATTTGGTCATCCTGTATGAGTATGTGGGCAACGTCATCAAAATGATCCAAACTAGAGGTAAGAAGAGCTTTGATGCCATTACTAAGTGACTGCCAGTTTGTCTGATTTGTGAGTGTGTCTGTCATTTAGAAACTTACTTTCGACCAGTCATTGTGCTTCTGGCCTTTCTCTTTTACTGACCCTTGTTTGGCACAGTGGACTTTGATATCATTGGCCCTAACAGTGACTTACTTGATCAGGATTGGGGAGTACAATTGTGTCCACTAATATATATCCCATTTTGATTCTTGTGCACAATGAGTACTGTTTAGTTGACCTACATTGACTGACATTTATGGAAAGATAATTCCCACTTGGATTATATATGTATAGCCAACATGTGGACCTCTCATGGTGGTACTTGTGGTACTGATGGATCCCTGTATTCTAGAAGAAAAACTCCATGGGATTTTTCTGTCCTACCTCAACTAGGTGATCTCCTAAGTAGCCTCTCTTCCTTTTTTCAATTTCCATAACAACACCGGCCACTTTACTTCCTGAAAAACAGCTTTGGGCATGTCACTCGCCTGCATAGGAACTCTAATAGGTCCCAATTTACACGATGTTAAAAAGGTCAAAATCCAGGACCAGTTTATCTTTCCGACCTATTTCCTGTTCTTTGCCTTTATTCATTATCCACTTCTGCCAGCCTGACTTCATCATTTTCTCGTTGTTGCAGAAAGTGCTCATGTACTGCTACTGATAATCTTCATTTTACCTCTTAACCTCTTCCCCTGATTCCATATCACCTGTCTCTAATTCCCCCAGCTGGCAATAGTTTTTGGAATGCACATAGTCCTTTACAGTGATCTTTCTTATAGCACTTATTGCCATCTATATTCTGATGACTGTGAACATATCTATTTCCCCATTTCCCTGAAGGCTTTGAGGGAGGATGTGTTCATTATTTGTCTTAGAGTGCTCGCTCACAATGTCATCCTGTGGGTTCATATTGGATTGTCTTCAAGGCAGTGTCTCTGATAACATGGTTGTCTAATCACCCTGCACCATGGGGACCCCAAGGAAGCCAGTCTAGTGTGGGCTCTTAGTTTAACATGTAGTTTAATATTTAGGTATATACCTGCATTGGAGCCCATGCTCTAACAGCTCACCTTTCCTGTGAAAATGGAGTTCAGTGAACCAAAGTTGAATTTTAGGAATACCCTTTTGTTGACTTATTCTCAGATTTACCAGGGTTTTAAGTCAAAGGCACCAAATATTTGTTTTCTGATAGGCAGAGGAAGAGCGAGAGGTAGCAAGTGCTTCCTTCTGACTAGTAATGCTGTTGTAATTGAAAAAGAAAAAATAAACATATACAAAGAAAAAATGATGAACGACTCCATTTCAATGCTTCAGACATGGAATGAAGCAGTATTTAAAGAAAAGGTAAGTCTTTTAATCTGTGTTACTGTTTCAGAATCTGACTGTAATAGAATGCGAGCATAGTTGGTACCTTTTATCATATTGCTCTGAGTGTTGCATTAGAACAATAAGTTTATGCTTAAAATTTTGTCCTGCAGTGAACATCAGAGTCATTCTGATTTAAGTCTCAGTGAGATTAAAATACAAATTATTCGTGTTGATACTTGAAGTTTGGTTTTTAGTTAGAAAGGACAAACTGAGTTAGAACGACCCTTAAGTTGGGAGCTCATCTTGAGGACTACATCATAACAGGCAGGACCCTGCTCTCCCCCGTCTTTTCCTCAGGCCCCTCTCTCTGATATCTGGAGTCTTCCGAGAAGAGCTCCCAGTGCACTATGCACGTGGTAAAATGCTGTTGTGGCTGTGGATAGTAATGTGCACTTTGGAGTGGCGTTATCTGTTCAGTTCAGCCTCTTGGTAGTAACCTTCATTTGATTGTAATTTCCTTTATAACCCAGAAGCATGGAACCAGATTGGGGAAAATCAGGAAACATATGCACATGCACACACACATGTACGCATGTACACGCACCCCCACACTTTCTCTAGACCCCTTGTGGAAACTTTGATCCCAGAATCGCTGCCACTTATGCGATATGTGACCTCAGGCATTAACTCTGTCTCTTAAGTCATCAGTCTCCATATTCATAAAGTTAGGAAAGAAATGGTATTTAATTCACAGGGCAGTTTGGGGGATAAAATGGGGTATGTGCATCGCTCAGCACAGTGCCTGGTACAAAGTAAGTGCTCAAAAAATGAGAGTTGTTATGGACAGAGGCATATGGGGGGTAGACTTGACCTTCACAAAAATGAACCTTACATTTCAGTAGACTGACTCCATAGTGTCCATATTTTTAAAAAGTCATAATCTCTTTTATCAAGAAAGTTTTAAGAAGTAGTGGTCTAACACTTATTTTAGGACATAAAATCTTAACTTTGTCAGTGGTTCCTCATTTTTTAAAAAATGTCTTCCTAAAGCTTAGAGACTAAAATATTTAAAAATACTTCTTCCACAGTTTCATTGAGAATGGCAGGGAAATTTTTTAGTTCCTCTTAATTTTTCTTCTGAATTTTACTGAAGATAAGGGCTTTTCACTGTGCCACCTTCCCATTTTGTAGCATATGGGAATGTTGGCAATAAAAGTTTTAAAACCATAATAGCTTTCATCCCCATGCCCTAATTTTTGTCTCTTCCATTGGGTGACAAGCTGCTTAGACTCCTTTGTGGCAGAAGAAATAGAGTAAAAATCTTCCAGGGGAGATGGAGGCTGGGCCAGACACAGACATTCTTTTGTAGTCAGTGTGCCAGGACAGGAGTGGGATGAGAACAAAACAGGTTAAGTATCAACATGTTGAGTTAGACTGTTGGATCACATTTGGGATTCCCCTCACAGCCATAGAGAACAGGCAGAGATGGTAAAGGACGAGAGGGAGTTTGGGACAAGTGTGGCCGGGACCTGTTGGTAGCTGGTAATTTTGTTGGGGGTGTGTGTGGGAGTTCTGGCTCCCCACAGGGTCTCCCTGACATCACAGGCAAAAGGGTCTACCATTTGGCAGGGCTGAAAGTCATGGCTCCCCTCTTGGCCTTCTCTGACACCGTGGGGTGAGAGTGTCAAGGTTCTTCGTTACAGCTTTGCAAGTGGAAATTTTGGTGCCCCACTCAGTCTTTGCTAGCATGGGTAGGGGTGAGGCTACCCTAAAAATAGGTTAGTTATTTACATATATATATATGTATATATATATATATATGTGTATATATATATATATATATACACATACATACATACATACATACATACATTTAGGGGCACTTGGGTGGCTCAGTCAGTGTCTGACTCTGGCTCAGGTCATGATCTCATGGTTCATGAGTTTGAGCCCCGCGTCAGGCTGTGTGCTGACAACTCTGAGTCTGGAGCCTAGTTGGGATTCTGTGTCTCCTTCTCTCTCTCTGCCCCTCCCCTACTCACACTCACTCTGTCTCAAAAATAAACTTAAAAAAATTTTTTTTATATATTTTTGAGAGAGAGAGAGAGAGAGTGTGTGCATGCACAAGTGGGGGAGGGGCGGAGAGGAAAGAGGGAATCCCAAGCAGGCTTCGCGCCATCAGCACGCAAAGCCCAATGCAGGGCCCAAACTCACGAACTGTGAGATCATGACCTGAGCTAAGATCAAGAGTCGGACACTTAACCGACTGTGCCACCCAGGTGCGCCCCTAGGCCATAGTTTTTTGTTTTATTCTGTGATGTTTGGAGTAGAACAGTTAATGTCTGAAAGTTTTTTGGCTTGCTAGGCTGTGCCTTTCCAGGTCCTTTGGCTAGAGAGAGTAGGCTTCTGTTGAGATATTTTTTATTTGTGCCCATAGGCATTTCTGCTTGCTTGTTTCTTCAGCCCCTAGTCTGGATATATGAGGTGAAAAGAAAACCCAGGGAGTCACCACCATGTTGTTCTACCATGTGTTTCCTAGCTGCCTGCCATCCTCTCTTCAACCTTTGGAATCTTCTTAGGTTTATTTTCTCCATCATGTCCAGGTTCTTAGTTATACTTAGCCATGTCCTGAGGTTTGAAATAGAAGGCAGACATACTATATATATAACTTTACTGTAATTCAACAATACTCTCCTGTGGTTGGAAGAGGAGAGAAAAAAATTTTCTTAGATGATGGGGACTCTTCTGCCTCCTGTTCCATTTAATGGGTCTCTGCTCTACAAGTGGGTGTAGTCATGCCTGAAACAGTATATATCATATGTTTATTTGTGAGGGATTTAAAAAATTTTGCCAACTACTAAAGTAGAAAGCATGGTTCAGATGACTATTTTATGGACATCCTTAGTATTTTATGAGCATCTTTGATGAAAAAATTAAAAGACTAATTGGAGGTCACAGTTAAACACTGACTAACAAAGAATTAGGAGAACCATTAAAATAATCTATGGGATTTTTTTTTTTAATAAACAAAGTCAGGTACTGTATGTTCATGGAAGTTGTATATAAATGAATGATTACATACACATATATGTGTATATATATACCTCCTAGTTGTACACAAATTACACTGATGATGTGGGGTTTTTTTTTTGTTTGTGTATTTTTTTGCATGTAGGTTCTCCAGATACAGATTCAAGAAAAAGTCATCAGGGATAGTCAAGGAAAAGTAGAACCTGTACCTGATAAGGAAAATAAAAAACTGCTCTGCAGAAAGTGCAAAGCCTTTGCATGTTACACTGTTGATATCAGAGTGGTGGAGGTAAGCAGCCTTTTTAACAAAGAGCACTGGGTCATTTTTTAGCACTAATTAAAGCTTACTATTGGTGAGATATTTATAGTCAGACATTATTATTTTTATTGTTTTCATGACCATAGTCAATGTATTTTTAAAAAGCTAAACACGGGGGCGCCTGGGTGGCTCAGTCGGTTAAGCGTCCGACTTCAGCCAGGTCACGATCTCGCAGTCCGTGAGTTCAAGCCCCGCGTCAGGCTCTGGGCTGATGGCTCAGAGCCTGGAGCCTGTTTCCGATTCTGTGTCTCCCTCTCTCTCTGCCCCTCCCCCGTTCATGCTCTGTCTCTCTCTGTCCCAAAAATAAATAAATGTTGAAAAAAAAATTAAAAAAAAAATAAAAAGCTAAACACGTTTTAATAGGAAATCCTTAACAATAAAGAAGAAAAAGAAGCCACTTAACTAAATATTACATACCATTAAAAATGGTTATGCTAAATGAATGGGGTATCTTGGATTCGATCCTAGAGTAGATAAAGAATATTATTATAAAAAGTAGTAAAATCTGTAGTTGATAGTAATGTTCCAATCCTAATTTCTTAGTTTTGACAAATGTACTATGGTGTGTGAGAATTCAGGGAAGCTGGGTGAAGGGTCTACAGGAATTTTCTGGATAATCTTGGAAATTTTTCTGTAAATCTAAAATAATTCCGAAGTAAAGTTTATTAAACAAAATGATCATGAAGCTTATGTATAATGAAAAACTTCTTACAAACTAATGAAGTGGGAAAAATAACAAGGATACAAAATTGGAAATATGCTAGGACTATAGCAGTGTGACATAATAGCAATAATACCACCATCACTACCAGCAACAAAAAAATAAATTTAACTTTGTATAGAAAAAAAGACTAGGGGAAATATCTAAAATGCATTACTATTTTGCAGTGAGATTCTGTGATATTTTCTACTATTTTATGTTTTCTAAACTTTCTTTTTGGGATACAAATCACTTTTATAACGAAAACAAAGTATCTCATTTTAAAAAATAGGTTAGTTTTCTGAATTTTTTTCCCTAATACTTTTGGATAAAACTTTGGATACAAAAATGTCTAAAGACAAAAGTTCCATGAACATACAGCAACTCCATTGCTGCTGATAAAGGGGAGGCTCGTTCAGATGATGAGTTTTCAGGGTTCTCCTTGGGCTTCAGAAAGCTGAAGTCTCTAATCCGTCCCTCTGAGCAAGAAGCATATTAGGGGTGATACTAGCAAGTTCCCATGCCTTTAGGAGTCTGCTTCTTTAGCTATAAAAGGTCCCTTCAGCTCCAATTTGAGTGATTTTTCTGTTGAAATGGTGCTTTATGACTTTTCCCGAGGGGCTGGTGTGTTGGGGTCTGCATTTGTTCTGTACAGTGTGGCCTTTCTGAGGTTTACTCTAAAGTTGACTACAGGCAGAGCCTCTGAACCCTTTAGTCCCCAACCCTCTTCAGATCCACATTGACCCTTTGTTCTTCTCTGTATCCTTTGGATTTTGCCTGCCAGGTGAATTCAGTCTTTGGAGATCTTCAATAAATACTCCCTTTTGTTTCTGAATCAATAAAGGGTATCTATTTTCAGAAGCTCAGTTCCCTGGAAACTTCTTAGTCCTCCTCTTCATGAGATGGCCCGTCACTTCACTTGTACCCTGACCCCCACCCTCATCTCCACCCGTGTAACTGGGAGTCAGGCTGCGTGGATTCTGGTCTGGCCTTCAGGTGAATGTGTATTTCCTTCTTACCCCATCTGTAAAATGAGTGGGATCCTACGTGCTCTTCATCTCAGATTAGGGTGGAGCTTCTTTAAATCACGGTTTTGTACTCGTTTTAATGTTGTTATTCAATCCCTTCATCCGTAGGAATGCCATTACACTGTGGTTGGAGATGCTTTCAGGAAGTGCTTTGTGAGTAAACTACACCCCAAACCAAAGAGCTTTGGATATTTTGAGAAGAGAGCAAAGATCTTCTGTGCCAGACCAAACTGCAGCCATGACTGGGGAATCCATGTGAAGTATAAGATATTTGAGATTCCAGTTATAAAAATAGAAAGTTTTGTGGTGGAGGATATTGCAACTGGAGCTCAGAAACTATATGCAAAGTGGAAGGACTTTCATTTTGAGAAGATACCATTTGATGCTAAGGAAATGCCCAAATGACCTGGGTGCCTCATTCTTTGGCTACAGGGGATGGATGACCGACCCTGACTAAAGAAATTAGCCCCAGTGGGTACAATCATGGATTGCTTGTACCATTGTGAAGGTATGTGCCCAAGGCTTGTATTGAACTAAATATCTATCACTTAACTTTACCCTCTGTTTATGGCTTTCTGTAGGCCAATAAAGCTCTTAAGTACTTGGGAAAAATTAAAAAGCCTTAACTTCTTTTCCTATCCTTCCCCTTGCAACTGATCCCCAATGAATATCCAGTAGCCACTGGGTACACATTAGAATGAATGAATGAATTGAAGGAAGGAAAGAAATGTTGAAAGTTTTTTCTATGCTTCCCTTTCTTTCCTTAACCTGCTACTGTAAACTGACTTTTGCCCTTAATCTACTGACATTGTTCTTGTTAATACCAGTGCCTAATCCATCGGGCACTTCTTAGGCCTTCTCTCTCTTTGATCTCTTTGCTGCTTTTGGCCCTGTTGAGTACTCCTTTCCTGGAACCCCCTCTTGGCTCCTATTTCTGTTAGCTCTGTCCCAGTCTGTGCTGTTGATTCCTCTATGCTGATCTCTTAAATGCTGATAATTCTAAGGGTTCGATAAATATTCATATACATAGATATAGTAGTTACTCATATTTTCCATGTACCAGTGTGTGGCATGTAATCTTAAAATTCTATAGGACAACTTTTAGTAATAGGAGCATGTAGATGATACAGTACTTCTTGAGAAATTGATTTGTTTTTATAGTTTATTGTACATCTTGCCCTATTAATTTGTTTCCTTAACCCATGATGTTGTTCCCTTTGAATGGTCATCTCAAGCCATTTTGTAATAATAGTTGATGGTCAACAGTTTGGACTCTGTTCTCAGGTTCCTTGGATGAAACTGAGGAGATAAATTTGGCTGTCCTATCCACTTAAAAAAATCAGACTATGTATTCAAGTGGCATTCTTGTGTCATTAAACAAGGTTGCTGATGCCCTGAGAGTTATTTGCGGTTTTCCAGACATGGGGACAACTGCCTGAGTTTTGCTGTTTCCATGTAGGCCACGGTATTTTGTGTTCAAGACAGGGTAGGCTCTGTAATAACTTAAGTATTCTCTAAAACAGATTCAGATTAGTTGTAATTCACTAGGACCATAAATGGCTTAGACAAACCTTCAAACATCACAAAAGGAAAGACAGAAAGCTCTGACCAGAAAATGAAGTGGCTGGAAACTTGATCTTAACTTGTAGCCTCCAGGAAGGAGAAAATACATTGTTGATGTTTGAGTCACCCAGTCTATGATATTTTGTTATGGCAGCTGAGACATGTGCCCCAAAATGCTGTCAATGACAATAAGGACGTAAACTATAGGACACGAAAATAAAAAAATGATGATCTGCTCACCACGCTTACATTATTGCTCCTACTAGCTTCTTGTCTGCTCCCAACCAGGGCAGAGAAATCCTGGTTCCCCAACTCTTCCATTTCACCTGTATAGCACGGATGTGGTTGTAAAAGCAGGAGAGGTTAAACGTCACCCAGGCTTCAGGATGCTGGTAGCCTGAGACTCGCTCTGCTCTAAACAGGCCCAGACTGAAGCCTCACACACCACAGAATTCAATTCCAAAGTCAAAAAGTTTTGCTTGAAAATAGATTTAATCTCTTCTTCAAATTACAAATGTTCTAAGTCTCTCTCCAAAACCACCCCCAAAGTCCTCCTCTTAACTGAAAAATTTTCTGGGGACGATTTTTGAAGATAGTAAAAGAAAAATGTCACAATTTCTTTAGTGTTGATCCATCCAAAGGTACATAATCAGAAAATGTCAGTGTCTGATCCAAGCTGTCTGGATCATCCACTCTGAAGGAAGAAGGGGGCAGGGGAGTCATAATCACTACTGTGATCTGAAGTGGGAGAAAGTTCTCATCTACCCATGTCAGTTAACTCTGGCATACTATGCATAGGCCAGGGAGTCTCAAGGGAAAGGTTTCACCGAACAGAGCCGAACAGGAAAGAGGACAGGCGACGCCTTCTGAGAAGACTTATCAGGCTGACAGTGAAAAAATCAACATCCTGTAATCAGTTTCCTTAAAGACCAGCTCAGTTCTCCTTTTCTGGCACTACTGACATTGCCACCACTTGAGCTTCCAAATTCCAGAGAGAGAGCCAAAGATTCACAAAAATAGAGAATGCAGAAACTGCTCGTTTTGTGCCTGGAGGGATGGCACCAGAACACGTCCGTGCTCACGTGCATGTGTGCAAGGCGGCACCCCTGCGGGGAGGCCCACACGCGGAGGGGCGTGCTCTGCACCAAGGGCCTGGCCGGCCGGTGGCGCTTCACTCCCTCCTGGTGCAGCTCCAGGTGCAGGTGACCTACTTGGCCATCTTGCGAACCATGTAGTTGAGGATGCCCCCGTTGTGGAAATAAGCAAGCTCCACGTCGGTGTCGAACCTCATGACGGCCTGGAAGCTCTTCCCGGTGTCAAGCTGTGATGACAAAGAAGCAGAGGAGAATCAGTGAGGGAGGAGGCTAGGCAGGGAGGGGCGCCCACCCACCCTGTCCTCAGGGCTGCCGCGTGCAGTCCCGGGCTCCAGCCCAGACCCAGGAAATCAGAAGCTGCATTTGGACGAGACCCCCAGTGGACTTCTCTGCACAGGGAAGCATCATAGCGTATGAGTGATGGCGGTGACAGGCAACAGAGAACCAGGTCTCCTGGGGTAGCAGCAACTAATGATGTTCGGGATGGCGTTTTCTCTCTTTACTTTGAGAGGGAGAGAGAGAGATCATACGCGCACATCAATGTGGGGGCAGGGGCAGAGAGAGAGGGAGAGAAAGAATCCCAAGCATTCAGTGTGGGGCTGGAACTCACAAACCCCAAGATCATGACCTGAGCCCAACCTAGATACTTACCAGATGGAGCTACCCAGGTGCCCCTGGATGGTATTTTCTAAACCCTCTCTGGGAGCTGCGGGTCAGGAGAAGTCTCATTAAGGTGGTCCCGTAGGCAGTGCGGGGCACTTGGCCTCACCTCACATAGGGAGCTGTCGTTTTTACCTCTGGGCTAATCAAAATCTGGGGCCTGGGGTGAGGCTCAGGGATGGGGTGTGTCTGTTCACATTTTGATAATAAAAAGGTATTTTTTGGGTAATGTGACAATGTGCGGTCTTTGAGCTTCCCCCCACCCCTCTCTAGGCTAAGTGAGTCTGGGCCACAGTGGAGACAGCGGGGCTGGTTGGAGGGTAAGAAAGGAAGTGATGGTGACCACACGCATAAACAAGCAGTAAGTGATCAGTCAACAGCTGCCATCCTCCCTGCAGTCCTACTGAGTGATTTTCTTCCTTCCAAACTCTACTCCTTTCCTTCTGACGGGATTGATTATAAACACACAGCCCTGTTTACTTGGGCCCGGTGTGGAGAGGCTCAGCTTACCTTGACCTGCACTTTCATTCGTGGTTTGAGGTTTTCTGGAATGATGATCGTGTATCGTTCCCGCCCTGTGAGTCCCAGGATGTCCGCAGTCTCCCCAGGAAGATATTCAAGGGGAATCACCCCCATTCCCACCAAATTACTGCGGTGAATGCGCTCGTAACTCTCCGCCAGGACGGCTTTGATTCCCTGAGGAGCCAAGACAGTACTTTGGACACAGTTCCAGTTTTCTTTGGCAACAAGGAAACTTTACAAAAGGCTTCTTAAGTCTTCTCACACCTAAATTCTAAGTACCAACTGGTTGTTTACATAAAGTTGCTCTCTAATTATAAATAACACAGTAGATAGTCTGAACTGCCTATAAGTACAGGCCACGTGCAAGCATTTGAATGGATTTTCTCAATCCACCCTCCGCCAGCTCTGGGAGGTAGAGGCCATTATTGTCCCCCCTTGACCCACGCAGTCAGTGGAGTACCTGGTATTGGAACCCATGCAGTTTGACCACACGCTTAGCTGCTTTGTGATACAACATCTCTTAGCAAACTTTCATTGTTATCTGGAATCTACACCACAAAACACCATAATCATTTCTTCTATTTCCCTGGGATTTTGCTACTATAAGTGCAGACACAAAAGATTTAACCAAAAAAGCAACTTCCAGAACACACTATCGAGAAAGTAAATGATGTGCTGCTTTTACAATTCCTGTTTCAAGGACTGAATTGCACTGAATACAGTCTTCATATTAAGACTTCCTGTAAAGTACATTGTATTAGTGAACTAGAAGTGGCAATATACAGCAGTGCTCAATAAGCCAGGATCCTTGATTAACTAGAACACCCCACTCTTAAATATTAGTTAATTGTAATATAATATTAAGATACCCCTAAACGGGCTCTTGATACATAGAGTACACTTTTTTTGAGGGGGAGGGGCTGTAGGAGAGGGAAAGAGAGTCTCAAGCAGGCTCCACACCCAGTGCAGAGCCCGACTCGGGGCTCAGTCTCACGACCCTGAGATCATGACCTGAGCCGAAATCAAGAGTCGAACGCTTACCTCACTGAGCCACCCTGGTGCCCCTTTAGGGTATACTTTTAAGCCCCCCTGCATGAGGAGCATTCTGGGAACTTGTTAAAAATGTAGGTTCTTTAGGCATTACCCCAGATCAGGACCTCTTGCAGGGAGCATGGAGGGGAGGAAGCTAGTGATTCTTGTAAGCTGCGGGAGCCGTAGACACAAAGCACTGGTTCTCAAACTTTGCCACATATTCACATCACCAGGGCAGGCTTTTACAATGCCCACATGCAGGCCTTTCTCCTTAGCAACTAAACCAGAATCTTTGGGCATGAGATCCTGGCATAGGTATATTTAAAAATCCCACAAGCGTTTCCACATTTAAAAATGAGCGTATAGAGGAAGAACAGGTTCTTCAGAGCAGCAGATATTCCGTCTGGATTTACGTACACGTATTCACTAGGAGGGGGGTGGTCCTGTGCACGTGCCTAGCTCCCGGCAAGAGCCGCGCGGCACCGCAGACCGCAGTCGTCCGGCCCCCTCAGCCGGGAGCACAGCCCAGCACTGCTGAGCAGCCCGGCTTGGGCTGCCGGAACCTGGAGCCGTTCCGTACAGAAGTCTAGGCTCCTAGGAGCCCCTTGCGTGCCGGTTCTCTTACCCTCTGCCAGCTCTTACGGTTCCCTCTGGCTGCGTGCTGCACCGGGTCTCATTTCTACCACCAGCTCCCAGCCTTCTTCCTAAAACCCTTTCCTCTTCTGTCATTTCTCTGGTTCTTTCTAGCAGCTTCTCAAAAAGGCAGGCTTTTGATATATTACCAAGTAATCAGAGAACATCCTCCCCCCACCCCCACCCCGTGCCAGAGCAAAAGGATGGATTAAAAAAAAAAAGAAAAAACACAGTAGGTGTGATGTTCAAACACATTATCCTGGACTTCTGGAGGGCAGCCTGCCAGACACCACATTTTTTACCATAGACATCAACGTATTTAGTGGATGTCAACTTATTTAGTGCTTCCCAAGGCTTAATTTGCTGGAGCCACAAATCATTTGGATTGACACTGCCTATGGCGTTTCACCCAACCCCGAGAATTAAAGCTGAGCTGCAAGGCTCTTCCAGCAAATGCTCAGGAGGTAAAAGCTGCCTGCTACCTGCACGACCCCTCCATGGGGATGCCGCCAGAGGGTCAGGCCCTGAATTGGTAGAAGGTTCTAAAGAGCTGCCTGTCTACATCCAGAGAGCGCTGCCTTTTCCCTTGGGAGTCTACGAGCTGATTCACGGGCAGTGAGAAGCGACTGTAAAAACGTGCGCTCCCGCGTGTGTCCAAAGTGCAGGCTGCTTACTTTCCCCTTCTGTGAACCTCCTGACCGACAACACAGGATCGGCCGCCCGGGCTTACTGCACTCCTGGGACAACCGCCTGAGATACATTTCTGATCCTCAAACTGAATATCATGAAAACCATGAAATTCTTCCCTACAAAACAAAGACATACATACACCCTTTTCAACAGAATTTCAGAGACTTCACAGACCCTCGTCCCAACTGCTCTACAGACACCCCA